CCCATGTCCTCTCCTATAACAATCTCACCATGTCCCCCCATGTCCTCTCCTATAACAATCTCACCATGTCCCCCCATGTCCTCTCCTATAACGATCTCCCCATGTCCTCTCCTATAACAATCTCACCATGTCCCCCCATGTCCTCTCCTATAACAATCTCACCATGTCCCCCCATGTCCTCCCCTATAACGATCTCCCCATGTCCTCTCCTATAACGATCTCCCCACGTCCTCTCCTATAACGATCTCCCCATGTCCTCTCCTATAACGATCTCACCATGTCCCCCCATGTCCTCCCCTATAACAATCTCACCATGTCCCACCATGTCCCACCATGTCCTCCCCTATAACGATCTCACCATGTCCTCCCCCCACAGTGGTCCTGACGTTTGTCAACTGTGCCAGCGTGGAGTGGGCCACCCGTGTACAGGACGTGTTCACCTACGCCAAGCTCCTGGCCCTCGCCCTCATCATCGTCACCGGCATCGTGCAGCTGGGCAGAGGTACGTCACCAGCACGTCATGATTACGTCATTTGTCAGTTGTGTAGAGTATAGGTTTAGAACCAAGGGTACGTCACCAGCACGTCATGATTACGTCATTTGTCAGTTGTGTAGAGTATAGGTTTAGAACCAGGGGTACGTCACCAGCACGTCATGATTACGTCATTAGTCAGTTGAGTAGAGTATAGGTTTAGAACCAGGGGTACGTCATCAATATGTCATGATTACGTCATTTGTCAGTTGTGTATGTAGTAAGGGTTTAGAAACAGAGGTACGTCATCAGCACCTCATGATTAATAATAATAATAAATAGCATTTATACTGCGCATTTCCATTTTCTAAAAGATGCTCAATGCGCATTACAACGAAAAAGACATCACATCTTAAAAATAAATCGACAAGTGTGTACGTAAAACAACGTATTATACATATAATATAAATGCATATGTGTAAAATTTTATATGAGAAAAATAGTTCGATTACGTAATTTGTCTTGTGTATGTAGTAAGGGTTTAGAACCAGAGGTACGTCACCAGTACGTCATGATTACGTCATTTGTCTTTTGTGTGTAAAGTAAAAGTAAAGTTGCTCCCGCATCCGATCCGGACATTGGGGAATGCCTTGTTAATGAGACAGCTTCCTGGGCCTTCGGCATATTGTGGTAGTGTCTTTAGTGTGAAGTAAGGGTTTATAACCAGAGGCACGTCATGATTACGTCATTATCAGAACGAGAATAATAGGGTTTAGAACCACAGGTACGTCATCAATGCGTCAGGATTACGTCATTTGTCTATTTTGTGTAGTACCGGATTTAGAACCAGAATATGTTATGTGTTTTTAGTGTGTAGTAAGGGTTTAGAACCTGAACACGTCATGTGTTTTTAGTGTGCAGTACAAGGTTTCTATCCAGAGGTACGTCATCAATGAGTCATGATTAAGTCATTTGTCAGCAGAGTGTAGTAAGGGTTTAGAACCTGAATACGTCGTGTGTTTTTAGTGTGTAGTAAGGGTTTAAAATCAGAGATACGTCTTCAATATGTCATGAATTTGTCTTTTTATATAGTAAAGTAAGGGTTTAAAACCAGAGATACGTCATCAGTACGTCATGATTAAGTCATTTATCATTAGAAAAGAGTTAGGTTTTACAATCAGAATACGTCATCAATGAGTCATGAATACGCCATTTTGTCAGTAGAGTGCAGTTAGCTGTGTGGCCCTCACCTATACCTTTCTCCTGTGGGTGGTTGGCGGGTGCTCTGGTGTGGTTTGCTTCTTCTTTCCTATCAAACATCTATCGTCCTTATCTCCCCTCCTTCTTTTTTTTGTGTTTATCACTCTCTTGTAACACCTCTAATCTTCGGCACTTATATAACCTTATTGTGTTGCAAGTGCCGTAAAACTCTTACTAAAACTTTAAAAAATAACTTTCTCCTCTCCCAGGCGAAGTCGAGTATTTCAAGGAACCGTTTGCCAACACAGAGACGGACATTGGTCAGATATCGCTGGCCTTCTACTCCGGACTCTTTGCTTACAATGGATGGTAGGTGGTCCAACTGCTAGATTGGTCTGTCTATATGTCTGTCTGTCTGTCTGTCTGTCTTGCTTTGTTTAGTGTCATATTAGACTCACGTGTCTGTCTGTCTGTCTGTCTGTCTGTCTGTCTGTAACGTCTGTCTGTCTGTCTGTCTGTAACGTCTGTCTGTCTGTCTGTCTGTCTGTCTGTCTGTCTGTCTGTAACGTCTGTCTGTCTGTCTGTATTCTGTCTGTCTGTCTGTGTTTAGCACCATTTTAGACACACGG